CTTTAGTAGAAGCTGAGTTATGGATAGACATGCTGATGATAACCACGGGGATTTGCTCTGATTTCAATACACTAGAGATATGTCTGATGTTTCCCTAGAAAACGGGCAGAAGAAAACTATGCTGGATATATAAAAGCTAATGACAAAAAGAGGGTTCCCAAAGTGTTGTCAAGGAAACTGCTTTTGAGTCAGCCCTAGGGGTTCACCCCCTAATATTTGGTTCCTTGGTCTTGGTTACATGTCCTAGCATTCTATTCTGCCGCTGCTCCCTCAGTGATCCGGTCACCCAACCCTTCTGAACTGCACCCTCACTCGGGGTTTGTCTGCATTCCCACACTGAACAAGATGTCCTGATGACCTTCTGCTCTCTCACTGCCTTTGCTCACCTTTGTGTGGTATAATTTCAAATCAGTGAACATGATGTACTGTCAGGTATTAACCATCTCATGAGGACTTCAAAGGACAGAGGTTTTCTGTTTCAGCTCTCCTTGCATACCCAGAACACCGTGAAATGAGAAAGAAGAATATAGTTGACCCTTGAACATCACGGGTTTGAAATGCACGGGGCCACTTACATGCAGATTTTAAACCTCTGCTGTTCAAGAATCAACTGTAGCCCTGGCCGGTTTTGTTCAGTGGTTAGAGCATTGGCCCGCGGCCCAGAGAGGCCCTTGTTCGGTTCCTGCTGAGGGCACATGCCTCGGTTGTAGTTTGTCCCGGCCCCAGTTGGAGTCATGTAGGTGGCAATCCTTTGATATGTTTCTCTCTCTCTCTTCCTCCTCTTCTCCTTCCCACTCTATATCTCAAGATAAAATGCAGAAATGACCTCAGGTGAGAATTTAAAAAAAAAAAAAAATCAACTGTATACTATTAAAAAGAAAGAGCAAACCCAAAATGGAGTCACTTTTGCTAAGCCTACCGACTCAATACCTAACCTAACTGCAATTTCAGCCAGGAGTGGACTTATTTTTTTAATCCCCACCTGAGGATATGTTTATTGATTTTAGAGAGAGAGGAAGGAGGAGGGAGAGAGGGAGAAACGAAGAGAGGGAGAGAGAGATCGGTTGCCTCCCCTATGTGCCCCAACAAGGGATTGAACCTGCAACCTAAGTATGTGCCCCGACCAGGAATTGAATCCACACCCTTTTGGGTACAGGATGATGCTCCAACCAACTGAACCACCCGGCCAGGGCCTGGGAGTGGACTTTTAAACTAATCAGTCTGGAATTTCTTGGTCAGGACTAATGGGGCAATGTGCCTGATAAACCCCTGCCTTCCACCAGGAAGGCAACCATGCCTGAAACAATCCCCTTTTAGCTTTCTTGCCCCCTCTCCTTGGCCTGTAGAAATCTTCCATTTTGGACAACCCCTCTGAGCGCCCTTCTAGTTACTATGAAAAGGCCTGTCAGAACTTCACATTTTATTCAGTGGAATTTAATTCTTTAACAATAACTTTTCCGTTTGTTGATCACAGTCTCTGAGAGCACATTCTGTTGACAAAGCGTGAATGTTCTGAGTGTCTCATGCACTTTGAAAGAGGTGGTGCGAGGTCACATCCCCGTTTCAGCCCTTTCCAGGAGCAGAAAGACTCTATTGAGTTATGATTCATAGTCTGGGAGCAAAAACTTCCCATTTGTCCTCTGGCTACAACAGAAGGAGAATGATGGTGATAATAAAGTGTTGTTTTTCTGAACTGCTAAAGAATGTTTATTGTTAGGATCAATGTGATCCCTTGTATTGTCATTTTCAAAATGTGCCGACCCATGGCTGAGGCTGAGGCTGATGCCTACAGCGGATGGAAGCCTGGCCCGGGGCCTCTCTCCACAGGCTCACACACAGAGGACCAGGGCTTTACTTTCAGGTTTATTTCATTCTTTAAAACAATGTTCACAGTTTGAAACATAATAACTTATAGCTTAACATTTACAGTGGCTCACCTCTATGATGTCATCTTTTCCTTTTTGGAAAAATAGACAACAACCTCAGGCTCTAGAATCAAAACCTTCCCACAGGAATGTTCAGGATGGAGGGAGATTTACAAGTGCAGAGTAAAGAAATGGAAAGCCGAGGGCATAACCTTTCATGACGTTCTGGGGGCGGTGAGGGGGGGAATTTAATGCACATCTGGGTTGGCCCATGGAGGCCTCTCACTGGGTAGTCTTTTCCGTTTCTCCTTTTGTGATGAGGATTTCCACCCCTGACTTCTGACCAGCTGAGTTCTGAAAAGCAGGTGGTACAAGAGGACACACAGACTCCAGCAGCTGCCAGATCCACACCGGTTTCCTGCTGATGGGCTCGGTGTGAAAGGAGAAAGACGGAAGCAGGTTGTCCTAAACCCCATTTTCTCTCTGGTTCTTCCCTCCCTGCTTCTTCAGGGCACTGGAGACCAGTACACGGAACCTGTCCCGGCACAGGCCTGGCTCCTCTGCTGCCAGGAAAAAGGGCACAGGTGTGCATGTTTACGTGTGTGTGTGTGTGTGTGTGTGTGTGTGTGTGTGTGTGTGTACAGAGGTGGCCTGAGGTAAGAACGTCTGTGTCACGAGCTAGAGCTAGAGCTAAAATTCAGTTGTGCAGACCAATTATTCGCTTGCCTTTTGAGTCAGAAGTACCTGCTCTAGATCACTGATAGCTCCTGTCTGAATTCTTCAAAAGCTCTCTCCCTGCAACCCTGGATGCATTCCTCAAAGAAAGACAGCATACCAGCTTCTGCAGGCAATTCCTTATCTGCCACATGGGAGGTAGAGGTGTGGATGTTGGGGACATGACTGGGGGAAGACAGAGGAAATATTCTTGCTCTTCTTCTTTGCATAGGTGAATCTGCAGCCGAGGGCTGGGGACTCGGCCAATAACCTCCGGCTCCACCAGTAACGGGGGTGGTACCTTCGGGCTGTACTAAGAATGTTGGAGAGAGAAAAGATCATGGAAAATAAATGCAGACCTGCTTTAGAGCTTGCCAAATGGAAGCTGGGATGGAGAAACTTTCAGGTAAACAAGCTAACCAACACCTGAGAGAATAAGGCCCAAGGCCAGCTATGATCCAGCCCCCAGTTTCACCTGGAGCCCGTTACCCCGGGACATCTTCTCAGTTTCCAGTCCTCAGAGCAATGCGGTTGCTTCCAGATCACTGGAGACCCTCGTGCTTGTCTTGCATCACTCGGAGAGCTCCATGCATGCTGCGGGCTCCGCTTGGTGACTGTGAGGTAGGTGAGCCCCTAGTGCTCCTTTGCCCAGACATGAAGATCTTGTCACGGAAGGGACAGATGCGGAGCTGAGCGGGCTGACTCTCCAGTTGTACCGCCTGGTACACAGGCCCAGCTCCCACATGGCTGTCAGGAGGCCTCTGCGGGCCAGATGCTGCCCACAGGGCACAGCTGTGCTCCTCAAACCGGCCGAGGTTGGAGCCACAGGAGGGACAGTTCAGTTAATGTTGGGCTAAGACAGGAAAATAAAGGCAATTTTCTCCCCATTCCTATGTTCCCTCAAGAACAAAGTAAGCTCTGCTCCCTGAAGGTCCCGGCCATGCGGGTCCTCGCTGTCCTCTGAGCGACTCACCAAAGCACAGCAGCACCCCTCGTCCTGTCCTACCTCTGTCTCAGGCAGCGGGCTGCCTGCGAGTCTCCCATTCCCCCGACCCTCCCACGGCAGAGGGCTGCAGGGCACAAGCAGAGTGGACGGGAGCACAGGCAGCCTGTCCCAGTGCTGGCTGCACACCTGCGCTCCAGGACTCTGGCCCCCGACACGGGCCGCCAGGGCCATCCCCAGCCGGCGGAGGTGGTGAGCCCGCGGCCAGCGCCTGCACCTGCACCAGGCCACCGCAGCGGGTCGCACAGCCCTGCCGCCGCTGCGCAGGCGTTCTTCTCGGGAACCGGGAGCTCATGCGGGAACCCGGAGCTCTGCGGGAACCCGGAGCTCTGCGGGAACCGGGAACCGAGAGCTCTGCGGGAACCGGGAGCTGAGCAGGAACCCGGAGCTCTGCGGGAACCGGGAGCTCGTGCGGGAACCGGGAGCTCTGCGGGAACCGGGAGCTCTGATGGAACCGGGAACTCTGATGGAACCGAGAGCTCTGATGGAACCGGGAACTCTGATGGAACCGGGAGCTCTGATGGAACCGGGAGCTCTGATGGAACCGAGAGCTCTGCGGGAACCGGGAGCTCTGATGGAACCGAGAGCTCTGCGGGAACCGGGAGCTCTGATGGAACCGGGAGCTCTGATGGAACCGGGAGCTCTGATGGAACCGAGAGCTCTGCGGGAACCGGGAGCTCTGATGGAACCGAGAGCTCTGCGGGAACCGGGAGCTCTGATGGAACCGAGAGCTCTGCGGGAACCGGGAGCTCTGATGGAACCGGGAGCTCGTGCGGGAACCGGGAGCTCGTGCGGGAACCGGGAGCTCTGATGGAACCGGGAGCTCGTGCGGGAACCGGGAGCTCTGCGGGAACCGGGAGCTGTGCGGGAACCGGGAGCTCGTGCGGGAACCGGGAGCTGTGCGGGAACCGGGAGCTCGTGCGGGAACCCGGAGCTGAGTGGGAACCGGGAGCTCGTGCGGGAACCGGGAGCTGAGCGGGAACCGGGAGCTGAGCGGGAACCCGGAGCTGAGCGGGAACCGGGAGCTCTGCGGGAACCGGGAGCTGTGCGGGAACCGGGAGCTCGTGCGGGAACCCGGAGCTGAGTGGGAACCGGGAACTCTGCGGGAACCGGGAGCTGAGCGGGAACCGGGAGCTGAGCGGGAACCCGGAGCTGAGCGGGAACCGGGAGCTCTGCGGGAACCCGGAGCTCTGCGGGAACCCGGAGCTCTGCGGGAACCCGGAGCTCTGCGGAACCGGCGCTGACCATCCAGAGCCCCAGCTCCGAGCAGTCAGCTTGGTCCACAGCCCGCGGCGCCGGAGGAATGGGAGCCGCGGCAGGACTGCCGGAGGCGCTCAGGGTGGATTGGTATGCTGGCTCCTTCCGTCGGAAAGAACGTTTTCCTCTTGAGGTAGAAAGGTATCCGGGCTCCGCCTGGGCTAACACTCGGCGTCTTGGAGCTCGATCTCCTCAGTGGTGCTCTCTGCGAAGCAAAGGACAAGTCGGTGAGCTGCAAATCGGCCATAAGGCGGTTTTCTGGGGGTCCCTCCAGCCATAAGAGCATGAATTGACTCTCCCAAGGCCCAGAGAATTACCTTTGAGCTTGTGTCTTCTCTTCCTCTGGAATTTATATGCGCACTTATTACAAACCCACATGAGGCTGATTAACACAGCGGCCACAGCGGCGAGGAAGGCGAGGAAGACGGCCACGAAGTGGAGGTCTTCGTAGAGGATCTCTACGGGGCGGCAAGACACGTCCCTTTCATGGCATGCCCTGGCCTCCCACACGCTCACAGTCAGGGGGCACAGGTCCCCGAGCTCTTACCCGACACATGCAGCACGATGGTGCCAAACTGACGGCTCCCCAGGTGCTCGGTCACCGTGATGACGTAGTAGCCGGAGTCCCTCACACCCACGCTGAAGAGCTGGATGGAGCCGTTGTCAAAGGTGCAGACTCTGTCCTTGTGGCTTTGGGAGATGTTGGCCTGAGTCCCTGGCCTCCACTCCACGATCTTCTGCACTCCCCAGTGGGACGTGTACTTCCATTCGATGGTGGGGACGCCGTGGCAGGAGTATTCCACCGACAGCAGGATGTCTTCTTCCACCGTGGCGTTGATGGCCGCCTGGGGAATGTACAGCGACACGCCCTGACCTGCAGGACGGAGTGCTAGATGTGGGGCGATGTATAGAACGTGCAGGGCGTGAACGTCTACAGCTCACTGATCCACGCAGCAAACATGTGTGGAGTGTCTTTTACACACCAGGCTCTCTCCCAGGTTCCACTGCTAATGCTACAATGGTGGGTGTTATGGACTGAATGTTTATATCCCCCCCAACAAATTTCTGTATTGAAACACTAACCCCAAGTGTGGTTGTATTTGGAGTTGAGGCTTCAAAGGAAGTAAATAAGGTTAAATGAAGTCATAAAGGTGTGGCCCTGATGCAGTAGGAGTGAGGTCTTCACAAGAGGAGACACGAGAGTGCGCGCTCTCTCCCCCCAGAGGCGCACGTGGAGGAAAGACCACGTGAAAACCGGCAGGAAGACAGCTGTTTATAAACCAGGACTCGGAGAGCCCTCTCCAGAAACCAAACCCTGTCAGCATCTTGATCTTGGATGGTCCAGCCTCCAGGCTGTGAGAAAATAAACTTACGTTGCTTAAGCCCCACCCCGCCCCTCCCCCAGTATGTGGCATTGTGTTCCAGCAGCGGAGCTGACAGTGAACAGAAACAAGGTTATTGTTTACTGTTTCCTGGAGCGGTCATTCTTTTTTTTTATCCTCACCGGAGGACACTTTTCCAATTTTTATTCAGATAGAGTGGGAGGGAGAGAGAGAGAGAAACATCGATGTGAAAGGAACACATCAAGTGGCTGCCACCCGCACGACCAACCAGGGCCGGGGACAAACTGCAACCGAGGTACGCACCCCTAGCGGGAACCGAACCCGGGTCTCTCAGGACCGCAGGCTGACGCTCTAACCACTGAGCCAAACCGGCCAGGGCTGGAGTGGTCATTCTTTAAGGGAGGTATACAAGGGCTAAGTGAACCACTGAGATCACCTTAGATAATGACAAGTGCTTTAAAGATAATAAAACAGGACACTGGCGACCAGTGGGGATGGAAGTGGTACATTCCATTAGACAGACGCCATGGAGGTTCTTGCTGAACAAATGACTTTTGAAATCAGACCTAAAGGAGGAAGGGGGGCAGCCAGGTAAAGGCATGGGGGAAGCGCATTTCAGGCAGCAGGAACAATTACAAAGACTGGACATTGCTGCATTTGAGGGACAGACAGAAGGCCATGGGCAGACTTTAGAAGACAAGGTTGCAGAGCTGGGCAGGACTCTGGTCATGAGATGAAGGTCAGGGGTGAAGATTTTTACTCAAGGGTGATGGGAGGCCTTAGAAGAATTAAGCAGGAGGGTGACAGTCTCCATTGAGCTTAAGGATGTTTGCTGTGGCCCTGGCTGGTTTGGCTCAGCGATTGGAGCGTCGGCCTGTGGACCAGAGAGTCCTGGGTTCGGTTCCTGCTAAGGGCACACACCTCAGTTGCAGTTTGTCCCCGGCCCCAGTTGGGGTCATGTAGGTGGCAACCACTCGATGTTTCTCTCTCTCTCTCTCTTCCTCCCTCTCTCCCTCCTACTCTATCTCAAGATAAATGCAAAAATGGCCTCCGGTGAGGATAAAAACAAAACAAAACAAAACAAAAGACTGTTTGCTGTGGAGAACATTCTGGGGCCGAAGGGACCAGAATGGCAGTGGGAAGAGCAGTCTGGTGGCTACCGCAGGGACTGGATAAGAGCTGGAGAGGTAACCTAGGAGAGAGAGAGAGTGGAAGTAGGGAGGACATGCTGACAAACTAGATGTGTGGGGTGGGTGAGGCAAAGAGGCATCCAGCAGAGATTTCTGCATGGAACAGGCAGATGAATAGCAGTGCCTTTGACTAAGGTTACATACGTGTTGTTACACTGTGTTAAGTAGGTACCAGGCACAGGCCCTGTGCTAACTGCTTTCTACACATCATCTCATTAGCCTCACACCGCCTATTACGATGCTACCAAGAATTTATCTATAAGAATCCTCAGGCTCCACAGGACCAGGTTGTCCGAGTTCACTCTGCAAGGCTGAGAGTCACACAGGGGCTGCCAACTCCAAAGCTCACCTATTTAACTTCTATGTTCAAATCAAAGGTCAGTGGTTGGAGGTGGACAGCAGAGAAGGTGGCAACACCCCACGCTGAGGAGTGGGCAAGGCTGGCTGGAGACCAGAGAGCGAATAGGGTGGGATTCCAGCGTGGTGCCCACCCTGGGTTTCCACCTGCTCTCCCTGTTAGCCCTCTCCCTCAGTGGCCCTGCTGCCCCGGGGCCCCTGCTCTGTGGCTCCAGGTAACCACTTGTTACTTTTCCAGGCCTTTCTCTTTGTCCTCTCGCCTCCCCAGCATGTGCCTGTGTGCTGCTCTCCTGAGACCTGGCCAGGCGGCTGCAGATAAATTCCATGCTGCAAAACGGAGACGAATTTCACGGGTTACAGCTGCCAAGTAACAGAAACGTATTTTCTCCCCAACTCTGTACCTTAAAAAATGTTAAACTCACCCTGGCCAGTTTGGCTCAATGGTTAGAGTGTCGGCCCATGGACCAATGAGTCGCGAGTTCAATTCTGGTCAAGGGCTCGTACCTCATTTGCAGTTTGTCCCCGGCCCTGGTCAGGTCATGCAGGAGGCAGCCAGTCAATGTGTCTCTATCACATCGATGATTCTCTCTGTCTCTCTCTCTCTCCCTCCCTCCTACTCTATCTGATGAAAAATAGAAAAGTATTCTCCGGTGAGGAATAAAAACAAAAACAAACAAAACAAAATGTTAAACTCACAGAAAGGCTGAAAGACAAATACAATTCATTATCTATGTACCTTCTTGTAGATTCGCCAGTTGCTAACATTTTGCCGTATTTGCTTTCTCTATCTTTTCTCAGGAAGAAAACCGAGGTCAAATTCCAGGACAGCCTGCAGAGCTTTCTTCATCTCTGTGCCCCTGAACCCAGCACAATGCCTGACATTGTTGCTGATCGATAATGTTTGCTGAGTGAATGAGTCAGTGCAAGACCAAGTATTTATAGAAGCAAGGAGGAGGATGAGCCACTCCTGATAGAACTGCTGCTGCTTGGGTAGTTTAAAAAAGTAGGCACATCTAAATGCTAATAAACACATATGAAAGAACTGCAGTCAAGCTTTTTTATGCCAGTTACTCTGTTTTATACCAATTTATCATGTGCTTTCTAACCTCATCTCTTATTTTTGACATGCGAGTCATCAACAGGCCATAGGGAGGAAATGGCAAAGGTGGGATTTGAATGCAGCTCTGTCTGATGTAAACCTGTGTTTTTCCCACTCAACTTGGCGACTGGCTACCGTTTATCTCTCTATAGTTTCTGATTTCTCTGACCTCAAATATCAGCAGTTGGAACAGTGATTGCTGTAAGATCTGGAGAACCAGGTATAGAGCTAGTGACAAATCTGCATCACCGTGTACGTGTCCTTCACATACATCCTGTTAACCATGTTGATCAAGGAAGACTGCCGGCCCTTTGACAGCCTTAAGGACCTTCATTTGAGCCTTTCAGTTACTTTAGGCCAAGAAACAGCAAAACTAACAAACAAACAAAAATAATAAGCCCAAGCCTGCAGACCAAAGGGTCTCGGGCTGGATCCTGGTCAAGGGCATGTACCTGGGTCTCTCTTACATCAATGTTTCTCTCTCTCTCTCTCCTTCCCTCCCTTCCACTCAGTCTAAAAATCAATGGAAAAATATCTGTGGGTGAGGAGTAACAACAAAAAATAATAATAAAAAATAACAAGCCCGAGTTTCTCAGATGCTGATGTAAACAATATAATCTGAATACATCCACTTTAAAATGGAGTCTGAGCTGCCATGCCGGAGGAACTTAGGCCTCAGCCTTTGGGATGTTAAAAGAGGGCAAAGTAACCTTCAGACTGGGCCTAAAGCAATACTGTACCCTAAAGAACTATTTGTAAGGACAACAAGAAGGCAGATATTATGACTACCTGATGGACTGATGTCCACTGTACTGAAAATTTAAAACATTCTTTAGAGGTGAAGGTGAGGGTTGGGGGTGGTGGGAGCAGGAAGCAGGGTGTCAATGGGGGGAAAAGGAGCAACATCTGTAATACTTTCAATAATAAAGATTAAAGAAAGAATGAAGGAACAAGGCAGGAAGGAAAAATAAAATAAAACATTGTTTAGAATTAACATCACTATGTTAGTTTATCTGCACCAATAGAAATGCCTTCCTTCTATTGATATAACGGTTCTCCTTCCCTTTCTCATACCCCTTGCCATTGTCTCCTAATCAGACCACTGTCTGGATTTCTACCTGAATCAGTGCTTCCCAAGAAGCTATTCTTTTTTGATCTCAAAGAACTGCTTGTTACACTCTAGCCTTTTATTTTTAGGTTAACACTGACACAGCGTAAGCTGACCAACTGGTTCGTTTTGGTTTCTGTATTTTCCCTTGACCAGAAAAACCTCCTCCTAACCAGACAAACTAGCCGGGTATTTAACTGGGTTTAGGAACAGAGGGTTTCTCCTCCTGTCAATCTACCACACATAATCAGAAAGCAATGATCTATAGCAAAGATGGAAAATGAACAGTTCCCAGAGTTGAAAGGCAAACTGCTTGTCGACTGTTGAAAAAGTTGAATTAATGAGTAACCACCTCTGCACCTGATGCTAAAATCACTCCAGAACAAGTCCAGAGAAACTGAGACCAATGTTCAGACCTGGCTCAAAAGTTCACTCAAGAAGTTGGGACCATAAATCAGATTCTCCTTCTACAATGGATGCCAGGAAGCCATTGACGAGGAGGAGCATTGTAAGAACAAGGAAAGATGTCTATGATATGTGACTCAATTAAAACATAAATTTATAAAACGGCATAATGTAATCTTATTTATATTTGTGTAAATATGTGCTAATATGTAGAAAAGTGTTGGAGTAATGTATGCTAAACTGTTAACAGGAATTGCTCCTTAAAGATTAGATGGCAACAGAATTTTATTTTACAAAGTTATACATTTATATAATTTTGAATTTTTCAGTTATTCATTGACTTAATAAAAGATAAATGTATTTTTAAAGTTC